GCCCTTGTTCTCTGCAACAGCTGGAACACACTTACAGAGGATTACTTCAGACCTGGGGAATAGTGGCTTTGTGGTCAACTAGAACTTTGCAATTATCTTAGCTCTATTACAGCAAAACAAAAACAAAACACAGACAACAACAGACAAAAGAACAACACACACCAGACAGCTTCCCCATCACTTCAAAACACAGGCATTTTCAGAGATTAATTAGTCAAACTAGAATTAGAATGTGAATAGTTACAAAACAGTTAAGAGACATACATGCATGTATGAAAACACCTTCAGAGCAGGTCTTTTCCTCAGAGATTTCCAGATGCAGGCTTCCAACTCAGGGAGTTCGTTCAGTATAAACCAAACTGAATAAATACTTGGAAAATACCTTATCAGTACCAATATGGTTACCGATATGGCTCAGCCTGAAAAAAGGCGACCCCCCCCCCAGCTTTTATTCGGGTGGGGCAGCCTCAGCCAAAGTGGCACGGAGCTGACAGCTCTGCGCTACCCCAGCTGATCCTCCCTTGCCCACAGCCTTGGCGCAGGCTCTGCTAGGCAGCCTAGTTCAAACTGAACTGCCCAACAGAGCCTGCAAAGGAGTGAATTCTGTGGGGAGAACTGTCTCCAAGGCCAGCAGAAAGGAAGGGGGAAAAGATCTGAGATCTTCCCTCCCTCCTTTCTGCTGGCCATAGCTCCCAAGGCCAGCAGAATGGAAGGGGGGGGGAGATCTGACCTTCCTCCTTTCCCTCCCTCCTTTCTGTTGGCCTCGGCTGGGGCTGGCTGGCTCCTCTTGCAGTTGGTTTAAACCAAGCTGCAAGAGAAGCCAGCCCAGAATCAGTTGGAGCAGCATGAGCTGACAGCTCCATGCCATGCCTGCAGATCTTCCCCTGCCCACAGCCTCGACGGGGGGTTCTGCAGGGCAGCCTGGTTCAAACCAAACTGCCCAACACAGTCTGCAAAGGAGCCAACCCTGCTGGGAAACTCTCCCTGCAGGGTCTGCTGGACTGCCTGGTTGAAACCAGACTGCTCAGCAGAGCTCTCCAGTTTGCAGGGGGGCTGTTGGACACGATCTGTCTCCTTTTGCACATCGGACCCTAGAATTCCCCCCCCCGGCCAATCTGCACACAACTTAGATAGCAGATAGAGGGGGCATCCCAGGGAGGTCTGCTGCCCATTTGATGCCTCTAGCTTGCAGGGGAGCTGTTCGACACGCTCCCTCCCCTTTTGTACATTGGACCAACCCTAGGATTCCCCCCCCCCCAAGCCAATCTGCACACAACTTGGAGGAATGGTCCCTTCAAATCCATTTTGCAAGCTGCAGGGTAAATGAACCCGGAAGGGTGAACATTCTGCATTCACTTGTGCTGCGGCTTGCAAAACGCATTTAAAGGGATGATCCCTTTAAATACCGAGCCGAAAAATTTGGCAATCCCAATTATTTCCCAAATCCCATTATCATACCAATATTGGGATTCAGGAATATAGGGAAATACCAATATTTTTTGGGTTCAATACACTTGAATCCGAAAAATATCGGGTGTGTGTATTATTTTGTGACAGCAGATTCTGGTGCTCTTTGGGAGGGGAAAGTATAGCGGTGGGTCCAGGCAGTGTGTTAAAGGAAGGGCGCTGAGAAATAAAATGGCTCACCGCCCTTCCGGCCTGCGACCCCTCCCAAAGGATGTCAGCAATGGGGCTAGGATTAGTAACCCCCCTCCGTCATTGGTGTTGTGCAATGCCAGGTCTATTAATAATAAGACTATAGTCCTTCGGGACTTTGTCATGGAACAACAGGTAGACCTGGCATGCGTGACTGAGACCTGGGTGCGGGATGGGGAGACTGTAGCTCTCTCCCAACTTACCCCACCTGGGTTCTCGGTCCTAAACCAATCACGGACTAGGGGGGGGGGGAGTGGTGATATTTGTGTGGGAGGCTTACTCCTTCAGGGTGCTCCCCCCACTGGAGATTGTGGGCATAGAGTGTGTCTGTCTGGTGCTGGAGGTCGAGGAGAGTTTGGCAATCTGGCTAGTGTACCGACCGTGTAACGTGCCAGGCAGTAGCCTTCCATCCCTGCTGGAGGCCGTATTAGGCTGGGAGCTGGAGCACCCTAGGCTTCTGGTCTTGGGTGACTTCATTGTCCATGCTGATGACATGGCATCATGGCATCACTGGGACTCTCCCAATATGTGTCGACCCCCATGCATCAGGCCGGGCACATACTTGATTTGATCTTCGCACCGGGGATTACAGTGGACCAGATTACTGCAGTAGCAGTACCATTGTCAGACCACTATCCCCTGAAGGCCCGTGTGAATGTTCCACCCCGACCCTGTTTAGGCGGCGAGCAGATTTTAGCTTGCCCGCGGAGCCAAATGGACCCAGTGTGGTTTCAAATGGCCCTGCAGGATTCGATGCCCCCTAGCGGCACTTTGGATGAACTTGTGGAAGACTGGCATAGTCGACTTTCCATGACCATCAACGAGATCGCTCCCCGGTGCCCTCTGCGCCCTTGCTCTAGGCTAGCCCTCTGGTATACCCAGGGGTTGCGGCTTATGAAGCGAGAGTTAAGACGGCTAAAGAGACAGTGGCGCCGAGGCAACAAGAGCATCTTATAGGACGTTTATGAGATCCTACGAGATGGCAGTCAAGGCTGCAAAGAGAGAATTCTACACAGCTACGATTGCGTCTGCGAGCTCACGCCCAGCCCAATTGTTTAGAACGATTCAGTCTCTGACGGTTCTGCCACAGGGCAGACAAAACAGTAGGGAATTGGATATTGGCTGTGAGGCATTTGTGAGCTATTTTGCGGATAACGTCTTGGCGCTCCGCCGTGACCTCCCCACCACAGTTGAAACAGTTAGTGAACTTGAGGCCCCTTGCGCATCTCCGATTTTGGGTTTAGAGTGTTTTGACCAGCTCAGCCTGGAGGAAGTCAACAGATCGCTTGTATCTGTGTGCCCAACCACATGTGGCCTTGATCTGTGCCCCTCCTGGCTCATTAAAGTGGGCCACGAGGGGCTTCGAGGTGCCTTGAGGGAGAGTGTCAACAAGTCCTTCTCAGAGAGATGGTTCCCTGAGGCACTCAAGGAAGTGTTGGTCCACCCTCTCTTGAAAAAACCAACTTCAGACCTGGCTGAATTGGCCAGCTATTTGGGCAAATTGATTGAGAGGGTGGTGGTGACTCAGCTACAGGGCTTTCTGGATGACGCTTCCATCCTTGATCCATTTCAGTCTGGCTTCCGCCCGGGACATGGAACGGAGACAGTGCTGGTCACCCTTACTGACGACCTCCGGAGGCATCTGGATCGGGGCAGTGTAGCGGCTCTGCTGTTGTTAGATCTGTTGGCCGCGTTTAATACAGTCAACTCCAGTTGCTGACCCACCGTCTTGCCGACGTGGGGATCCAGGGGCTCGCCCTTCAAAGGCTTGCCTCCTTTCTCCAAAGTTGGGGACAGAGGGTGGTGCTAGAAGAACAGCAGTCCCGGAGGCACCCGCTCGAATGCAGTGTGCCTCAGGGGGCGATGTTGTTTAACATCTACATGTGCCCCCTCGCCCAGATTGCCTGGAGGTATGGGCTTGGATGTCATCAATATGCGGATGACACCCAGCTCTATCTGATGTTGGGTGGCCGGTCGAACTCCGACCCAGAAGATCTCCACCGAGCCTTACAGGCCGTGGCTGGGTGGCTCACGCTGAGCCGGCTGAAACTAAACCCGATGAAGACAGAGGTCCTGTGCTTGGGTCGGGGTTGGGGCTCCCGCTTCCGACCTTTGATGGGGCACCTTTGGTGCCAGCGTCAGAGGTTAGGAGTTTGGGAGTGCTCCTGGATCCTGCCTTAACTATGGAGGCCCAGGTGGCAGCCACTGCCAAATCGGCCTTTTACCATCTTCGGCTGATTCGGCAGTTGGTTCCTTTCCTCGACCGCGATGACCTGGCTACAGTGATCCATGCAATGGTTACCTCGAGACTAGACTACTGTAACACTCTCTACATGGGGCTGCCTTTGTCGCAAATCCGGAGGCTGCAGCTAGTGCAGAATGCTGCGGCCAGGCTGTTGGTGGGCATCCCTAGGTGGGAGCACATTCGGCCTGTGCTGAAAGCGTTGGACTAGCTGCCTATAGCATACTGGATTCGCTTCAAAGTGCTGGTGCTTACCTTTAAAGCCCTATATGGCCAGGGTCCGACATACCTGAGGGACTGCCTTTCCCCATATATGCCCCAAAGAGCACTTTGGTCGGGGACATAACATTGCCTGGTGACCCCAGGGAGGCCAGGCTTACTGCAACAAGGAAACAAACAAGGACCCAGCAGCTCTAGAGAAGACAAAAAGTTGCTGTACAAGTTCAGATTCTTATGCATAACAATAATAATTTAATACATGTTCTTTTGTTTCAATAGCTGAACATCCAGAGACCAAAGTCCCAGCAACAAGGGCCAGGTCCTTTTCAGTGGCGGTTCCTACCTGGTGGAATGAGCTCCCGGAGGAGATCAGGGCCCTGCGGGACCTTTTACAATTCCACAGGCCCTGCAAGACGGAACTCTTCCGCCAGGCTTCTGAGTAGGAGCCGCCACTACTACTACCATTACCACCATTGGTAGACCTGAGGGGTGGCCCCATGAAGATCAACCATGACTTCGCTGTGATCAGTACCGCTGGATGGGGTCGAGTAACATCTATGGGTCTTAATCTCCCTATTCTTATGTAAGATACTGGGGAGTCCATCTTGCAAATTTGATTCCATCTTGTTAAATTTTGATTGTAACCACTGAGCACTTTAATGTTGATTGTTTTATCCTGTTTTTATGTTGTTTTATGCTTGGCACATGGTGCCCTATTGTAAGTCGCCCTGAGCCCGCTTGCAGGGAGGGCGGGGTAGAAATGTAATAAATAAATAAATAAATAAATAAATAAATAAATAGATCCAACGTCCTCTGGAACACAAATTATGCCCCCTTCCTCACTACCTTCACATTCAGACTCCTTCCCTCCTCTTCCTCTTACCTGAACCTCTTTTTAACCGTCTTCTTGCCAGTTTGATTTGATCCTGCAGAATCTGCACCCAATCTCTTGGGCCAGGCAGTTTATCCACATGGTTTGCAGTGCAGTATTTTTCTGTGAACACTAAAATCAGAAGGATAAAACATATGTTTGTCAAATAAAACAAAAACATGCCCCTTTTCAAAGCTGGACAATTAAGTTAAGAAAGAGGACGATGACATTAAAAATAAAGTTCAAGCACCTAGTCATGAGAGAAACAAAATAAGAATAAGATTGACAATTTTATATACTACACTGCAACAGAATGTTTCAGTTCATCTCCCATAGAAATTATCCTGTACACGTAAAGCAAGGAAGCTTGTCACCGATTTCTCCACAGCCCACTCATTTCCCATGTGCAGTGATTTATTCACATGGGAGATCTTCAAACATACAGCCCCCCCCACCCTTGTATCAGGAGATCATTTGGACTAGGTCTCAAAAACAGCTGTTTACCGATTGAAGGAAATCTCCTAAGCACTCAACAAATATTTACCCTATTGAAAAATATTAGTAGACAGAGGCATTGAAATTCCAAGAATATCAAGTAGGCTGACCAGTCTCTGGACATTTAAACAAACAGATTGTACCAGTACACTCTCAAATAAGGACTCAAGCGGAGATGTGAAGGCCTGGGAAAAAACAAAACAGAAGAATTCTGAAAACACCATTTTTCCAAGGCCATTTTTCAGTTTTTCAGACAGAAAAACCAGTAATTTGGAGGAGTACTGAAAAAAGCACCTATGAAATATTTTCTCTTTTAGACAAGGTGGGCATGCTGTAGACCAGGGGTCCCCAATGTGGTATCTCCTAGTGCCTGCAAAGTGTTTTCTGAAACTGGGCAGAGTCAGGTGGGGCTGTTGTACATAAAGGTTTCTGAGTGGCCATTGGAGATTTGATTGGCTATGCAGCTTTTTAAAAACACTGCTTTGGCTGCAGCTGCCACCATTGCACAAGGATCTTTATTATGTGACTGAAGGTAAGCTATGGCAGCAGTTTTGTGGCTGGCTCTACCTCCTGCAGCAACCATTTTGTGCCTGCGCCCACTGCCCTGTGTCAGAATTCCAAAGGTTGCAGGCTCAAAAAGGTTGGGGACTCCTGCTGTAGACACATACAGCCCTTAAATCCAAGATACATTTCTGCAACCTAGAAAGATACCTAATCTTCACAAGGGGAGTATGCGGGGCTTTCATTGCTTCTTAACTGTTATATGACTTCTGTGGTCTTTTTGACCTGACTCTTCCCTGGTGGTTGACCTTTTCACCTCTCCCTCAAACCATGGTGACACATATGCTCATAGATTGGGTCACAAGTAGCTTATTTCCCTACCTTGCTGAGGGAACAAAAGATCAGGAGGCAGTGGGGCAGAAATTGTACCAAAGCCTCAAAGGAAAACGCTGAACATTTCATTGAGAACTCTCTCTCTCTAACCAGTAGCCACAGAAGAAACAAGACAGAATCTAGCTGAAACTACATCTAGCTGTACAGATGCTATTATTGACCTTTTGTGCAATCCTTTTCTAAACAAATATATTTTATGTTATTTCCCATACCATAAAGCTTGTGCTTTCTATTTACCTCCTATTTTTTCTCCTTTTCGGATAGCAAAAATTAAGACACGTGCTAAGGTAGCATAGGATGCATCAGCTCACAGTTTTATCTCAAGTATGGGGTATATGTGCAATTTTGCTTGTAAAAACAGGCATGTATAACTTTTAAATACCTCCAAAGGAAGTTTAGAAAACTTATTGAGGACCAAAAGTTAAAAACATAAGTATAGACAAAATAGTGTTTATTTCAAAGACATATAAAAACCTTAGAGGGGCCCAAATAAAGCCTCATAAAACGTTCAAAGTGACAAATACACAAAAAAGAACAGTGTATGATCTGACACATTTTGGCTCATAAGAGCCTTCTTCAGAGGTCAAATAGTACAAAGTACAAAATACACCAAGCAACAAAGTCCCTGTAATGCATATAAGGCAATAAACAATTAATAATATAGGACCAAAACCAGAATGTTCCAATAAGGAATTGAATGACACACCAAAATATTTCTATTTGGGGCCACAAATATATCTGGCCTCGTGTCAGAAGTAGTTGCATATACTGGAAATAATATCAGTACCAATATGTAACTTCCAGTTTAGGTCCTAAGAGTGCAAGTAAAATTGCCTTATCAGGGGCAATGTGACATCAATATGTGACATCAATATGTAACAGTGAAGACAGTTTTATGTTGTTAAAGAAGTAAAAAGTTTACCTTTGATACGAAAGTAATTACGAAAGTAATTTCTATTCCCCCCCCCCAAAAAAAGAAAAAGTAACTCACCCCAAGACTTCAAAATTTCACATCTATAGACACAAAACACCACTGCATGGGGTTAACTAGGTTATTAATGGCTGATCTCCATCAATTATCCTTTAATTATTACGAGCTGCTCATAACAAGCAGCTTACTACAGCTACCAGCGTTTTTGGCAAAGAACCCATCCTGGCTCCAAATTTAGCCAGTGCTTTGTTTACCCTCAGTTGCCCATAAAACAGTGCCAAGAGGTGTTAAGTCTCATCTCCCTTCCCCTGCTTGCCACTCAAACAACTAAAGGCTCAACTGGTGCTAGGGGTGTGCATTTGGTATAAAGCAAGCCGAATAAATACCTGAAAGATACCTTATCGGTATTTTACGGGCTTTTTTAAAAAGCAGAATACAAATTAGAGAATCTGAGTTGGCTACCGGTATAGCTGAGCCAGAATAAAGCTGAAATTATTTGGCTTATATGTGGCTTTATTTGGCTATACCAAATAGCTGCTGGTGGAGAGGTCACTTTAAAGGGCTACAAAGTAACTGTCAGTTGTCTCCTCTAGGGCTCTTTCCCACCTTTTGCTCTGGTTTCTAGGGCAACACAAGGGAGGGGGAAGAGGCATCTCTGCAGTCCAATGGCAAAAGCATCTTAGGGGGAGCTGTGGTGCCTTTGTAATTCTTTTGCAAATGGCATTGTACTGCAGGGTGACAACCTGCAAGGTTGTTGCTGGCTTCAAATGTGAAGTCCAGCTAACGACCTTGCTTTCCCCACTCAAATTGTAATTTCTGATACTCCTAACCAGAGCCTCAACAGTTGAGGTCTGCCACAAGCTAGGGTTCCAGATGGTTGCTCATAGCTGGGTCACTGGAGGGGAGGCCCAATGAGGTGTGGATGCCCGCCACTTCAGCTAAAAGCCTGGTGGAAGGGCTCTGTCTTGCAGGCCCTGTGGAATTGTAAAAGGTCCCGCAGGGCCCTGATCTCATATCGGTGCTCATTCCACCAGGTAGGGGCCAGGGCTGAGAAAGCCCTGGCCCTTGTTGAGGCAAGACGAATGTCCCTGGGGCCGGGGACCACCAGGAGACACTGGTTCACAGAATGTAATGTCCTACAGGGCTCATAAAGGGAGAGACGGTCTCAAAGATATGCAGGCCCCTGGCCATATAGGGCTTTGAAGGTAAACACCACAACCTTGAAATGGATCCAGTACTCAATAGGCAGGAGGTGCAATTCATGCAGCACAGGGTGATATATGTCTGCACAGGTGACGGTCAACACTTGTGCTACTGCATTCTGCACCAGCTGCAGTTTCCAGAGCAGAGCCAAGGGCAGTCCCACGTAGAAAGAGTTACAATAATCCAATCTGGAAGTGACCACTGTGTGGGTCACTGTAGCCAGGTCCCAGGGAGTGAGATATGGGGCCAACTGCCTGGTCTCAGGTGAAAGAAGACAGACCTGGCAGTGGTGGTGACATGGGCCTCCATAGTTAATGAGGCATCCAGGAGCACCCCCAGGCTCTTCACCTTTGAAACCAGCACCAATGGGGCCCCATCAAAGGTTGGGAGCCCGATCCCCAATCCCCTGCGACCCAGGTGCATGATCTCCGTCTTCGAAGGATTCAGTTTCAGTCAGCTCTGTTGCAACCATCTAGCCATGGCTTGTAATGCCCTGTCTGGAGCAAAGTCTGGGTGGACGTCCATTAGTAGATAGAGCTGGGTGTCATCCACATATTGGTGACAACCCAGGCCATACCTCCGGATAATCTGGGTGAGGGGGCACATATAGATATTAAACAACACTGGGGAGAGGATTGCTCTCTGTGGCACACCACATTCCTGCAGGTGTCGCTGAGATAACTCCCCCCAAGCGCTACCCTCTGTCCTCAATCTTGGAGAAAGGAGGTCAGCCACTGCAAGGAAAGCCCCCATATCCCCACATCAGCGAGGTGGTGAGCCAACAAGTCATTGAAAACCATATTGAATGCTGCTGACAGGTCAAGAAGTATCAGCAGCACCGATCCGCCTCAATCCAGGCGTCTCCAGAGATCATCCACCAGGGCCACCATCATCGTCTCTGTCCCATGGGCAGGGCGAAAACTGGACTGGAAGGGATTCAGGATATTATCATCCTCCAGGAAAACCTGGAGCCATGTCACCACCACCCTCTCCACTACCTTACCCAAGAACAGTAGATTGGACACTGGGTGGTAGTTAGTAAGGACTGTGGGGTCCAAACATGGTTTTTTTTGAAGAGAAGACAGAACACTGCCTCCTTCAGTCCCTTCCCCCCTGGGAAGGTAACTGTTGATAGGGACAGGTTGATGATCTCCCTCAGGGGGTCTGTACCTCATTGTCACATGCTTTAATCAGCCACAATGGGCAGGGATCTGGGGGCACGTGGTGGGCTTTACAGCTACCAGGGTCCTGTCAACTTCATCCTGGACAAGCAGACTGAAGTGGTTCAGTTGGCTTGAAACTCAACATCAAAAAAACTAAGATCCATGGCATCTGGCTCCATCCTAGACAGCATAATAAAAAGTAGAGACAGCACCCTGCCAACAAAAGTCTGTGTGGTCAAAGCAATGGTATTCCCAGTAGTAATGTATGGCTGCAAGAGTTGGACTGTAAGGAAGGCTGAGCACTGAAGAATAGATGCTTTTGAATTATGGTGCTGGAGAAGACTCTTGAGAGTCCCTTGGACTGCAAGGACATTGAATCAGTCAATTCTAAAGGAAATCAACCCTGACTGTTCCCTAGAAGGCCAGATACTGAAGCTGAAGCTCAA